GTTGATCATTATCTATCATGTTTATTTAATTCATTCTTTTGATATTGATGATGATGAGGAGGAGGAGGAGTAGTAGGAGGATGAAGATGATGATGGTGAAGAGTAATATCCATTATTGCACTCCCTCAATGGTACATATCACAGTGTTATGATCTTAGTGATTCATAAGAAGATGCATGTGGGCTCTCTAATCATAAAAGCATTTATGTAGGGGCATTGGTCAAGTGTTCTATTAGAGATAGTCCCTCTAGGTCACCTAATGAGAATATTCAACAAGTGCATTTAAGAAATGGCAAAGTGCTTCCCCCAAGGAAAGTTAAGCCTACTATACAAGATAAAGGTAAAGCTATCATTATCAAAGAGGTTGATGATAAGTCCAATATTCTTAGTCAAAGTAATGGAACTAAACATCCCTTTAGTAAGGTTGATTATGTTATTTGGCGCATCATAAGAATATTTCAACATATGTAAGCATCTATTATGCACTTATGTTATCCTCTAAGAGAGAGAAACTTTGGTGAATGCTCTATTAGAGCCCAAAGTCTTTCATGCTTATTACACCGATGAAAAGATGAAGCTGAAGGTTGCATCCTAAAATGTAGTTACCGTCGCCTTTTTTGAAAATCTATTGTTTAGCATTACGGATCATAAACGTCCATTATATATGATAGCTTTGGTTACGGTATTCCTTTGACTTGTATACTTGTCGATCTAGGCACTTTTATAAATATCTTTAGCATCTGTACCCTTGAGCAACTTTTCATAAATACAAAGTGGTTATGCTCATATAGCCTCATGCTTAAAGGCTTCAATGAGAAAGCTCAAAAGACTTTAGGTTTAATAACTCTTCCTCTTCAATTTAGAGAGTTTAAGAATGAAGCAAAATTCCACGTATTGATGGCAATACATCCTCTAGAGCTTTGCTTGGATTTCCATGGATACATGAATATGAGATACTACCTTCAACCTTATACCAATGTATCAAATACATGTATGTAGGAGAATATTTCTCCATTTAAGGTGATATTCAACCCTTCTTTGTTAATGAGATAAACATATATGATGATGTTGAGTATTATATACCCCCTAAAAGGGTGTTCTACCAACCTCAAATATCATAAGATTTCACAAGCCCCTCTACTTATTAATTACCTTTTGGTTAAAGGAAAGGAGAAGTAAGGCAAGATGAAAGGTATCATGCCTTAAAGCTATCAAGACATGATCAGGTTTTCCCTATTATGACACATTATAAAATAAAAATAGAAGCTATATCAAATATTAATTCTGAATCATTAAAGGTCTCACAAGTGAATAACATAAGAAATTTATGTGATCATGATTGTACAATGTTAGCCCAGAATTAAGAAGATGATTGCGAGGAGACATCCTTGGAGCCCTTGCCTAAAAATATATTGTCAACATTTGTAATCCCTTGTTTTTCTAATTTGTTATAAATAGCTGAGTTGTTGATTATTGAAACAATGCCACAAGGACACTACATGAACATTACGACTACAAGTGTATCAATGGTTCATGAGTTGTGTACTTCTTATGTACCTCCTAGATTTAAATCTAGAAAGAAAGACTTACATTGGTATAGATAGGAAAATTGGGTTTATATTTAATCAAATGACCAATTAACCAACTAAAGCTCAATGAATTTAATTTTAATTCAAATAAGCTAGATGAGTGTAAACACGCCGTTGATTTTATCAAGCTTGTATTTGAATAGCTTCAGGTGAGTTTAATCTAATTTCTTATTAATGGGTCATGATTGAGTTAATTACACTAATTGGCCAATTTAAATCTAGTTTGAATTTGGATTTTCAAATCTAAAATAGGTTTTTTGGAATATTTAGTAATGTTTGATTTATTTATAACATGAATTTCAAAGGAGTCCCAATCTATTATGCTAGGTCAAAGTAGGTTAAACTAGAGTTGATAAGTATGAATCCTACTCAGGGATGGTTTATGATGCTTTTAAGTGTATTGAGTTTATCATTAACCAATTTTTTAGTAAATAATGTTCAGTTTGATTAATGGATCCCATATTATCAACATAGGTCTAGTTGGTCAAATTAGGTTAATAAAGTCACTTTAGCTTAGATGTGAGCCAATGAATGGTCCTAAAGCTTCTAAAATAAATCATAAGGCATTGATTCAATTATAAGTTTCACAAGATTAGATTCCATAAAATTTAACTCCATGTATGTTGAGTCCTAAAGGACTTTGGTTTAATTTCCTGCTCTTGATGACCTAGTAATGGCTAGCTCAACTTCATTTTGATGAGTTGAAATACTAGGCTAAATTCATCTTAAACCATTGAAGATTGAATTGTTTTGATTTTGGGTCTGGTTAAACCATAACCTCGTTACTAGAAAATCTGCAAAAAAGAACTGATAAAGGAACTCCTATGCCATGAAAAGGTCCTAAAGTCTACGGCTAAGCAAAAATAAGAAGTGTATTAAGCTCATTAAAAAAGTTGAGTTCAAGAATATTTTATAGAGTTTTCTAAGTGATAGTTTAGAGTTGGATTATATACCCATATTGAATGTGAGGTTTGATTCCCTCTAAGGAAGCAAGGATGCTTTCATTTTAACAAATATATTAAGAGAGTTTTTCCATCTATAGAAAGTGAGGAAATGATTCTTTAAATAGAGTGAATTACATAGTATAAGAAGTGCCTAGGCATGAGTATCCTCTAAAAATGTCTAAGTTTCAAATTTTAATGGCATCCATCTTGCTCTACAGCTTAATTTATATTCATCATACATTTACTATATCATTACCATGCTTTCATTTTGATTTTTATCAAAGAAGTAAATTTTTTTATTCTTTTTAGTTAAGTTAACTATCTCCATTATGCTTAAATATTGTTACAATTACACTTGGTATAGATTTATGCATATCAATACAATCTATTTCTTAGTGAAAATACCATTTTAATTTTTTATAATACTGTCACATTAGCTTGTTTAGTGCTATTACTCGCTATACTTATAAATTATTAAATCCTTAAAGTCTCATTTAAAAACCTAATTTGGTCAAGTTATTACATTTATAGAATTACTTTATTATTAACAAGTTTGAGTACTCATAGTTGAGTATCATACATTCATATTATGCCTAATATAAATCACTAATCTTACATCATATCACATTTTATTTTGTTTCACCAACATCTAAGTGCCCTGTTATTTTAATTAGTTGTTCTCTATTTTTTTATCTATTATTGTAGGAACTAAAAAAATTAATTAGTGAAGTTGAAGAGACAATTTACATTGATTTTATCATAGCTGAACATTTATTTAAGAGATTCATTTTTAAAATATAGTTCTCATTGTTAAAATTATGGGATTGCATAAGACTTAAAATATGTGGGTATTAATATTGGTTAATGTGATTACTTATATTTATTAAAATAACTCATACAATCATTTGTATTATTCTCTACCTATGATATATCTTTGCACCTAAACTTATTATGTGTTTATTTTTTAAATTACATTTCCAAATTCTTAGCCTCTACATATTACTTATTTATTATATTTGTTGCTTCTAATATTGTAATTTTTATTGCTGTAATGCACTTGAATTGGTGAAGTTTGTGTAAGAGAAAATTTTAATAAGAAATTTTTTAGATGCAAAAATGTTACAGGCACAATTAGTCTCATCTCGCCCAACCCCATTAAGTCTGTTTATATTATCATTAAATATCAAAGCTATTGTTCATGATTAGGGCGGTCGAAATGGCTCCTTGTTTGCAAACAGCTTGGGTTGGGCTCGTTAAGAAGTTTGTGTTCGGCTCGTTCGCTAAGTTAAGGAGCCGAACACGAACAACACGAAAAAATATTTGCGCGTTCATGTTCGACTCGTTTTGACTCGAAAAACCACTAATTAATTAATTAATTAATTAAATTATTATTATTATTATATACATATATATATATATATATATATCTCTTTGATGAGT